GACAGTCAAAAACCCAGTAGCCAATAAATATATCAAATGCTGATTTTCAGGAGTATTAGAAAATATAAATAGGGGCCATGGAGACGTCTTGATGAGTATACTTGCTGTTCAAGTTTATTGAACCCTAGCTCTGTTCCTGGAACCCACTAAAGAGAGAACTGACTCCCCAAAGTTGTCCTCTGACCCCTACGTGTGTTCAGAGGCCCGTGTCTACACACTCCTTATACCCTCTCACATCCCATAATAATAAATAGAAACTCTGAGGACAGTTCACGATGGGATTCAATTTCACAGTGTCAGACGGGCACTCAGGGGCCAGCACGGTGGGACTGAAAGACAACGAATGGGGAGACATCTGAGGGCGGACTTCACGGGACTGGAGGGGGAGGGGGAGGGGGGGTCACCCCTGGGTTTCCTGCGAGTGTGACTGAAGGGGCAGTGACAACCGTGAACAGAAACAGGGGAGCAGAGCTGAGGCCTGACCATGAGGCTTAGATGCGACCGGTCGGTCTCCGACAGCGGAAAGGGATTGCTGCGAAGAGCCGAGTCACGTCTCAGGATTTCCCACAGTGTATTTGGGTCTTTTCATTCCCGGGCTGCGCCAGGCAACTGCTCAGCCACCTCTGGGAACATTTTGGCCCCAATCTCCTTTTTACAGACTCTGCTTCGGGAGGCCAGTGGTCTCCTTTCATTTCTAGCAGTCTCCCCAGCTGCCCAGCTGGGCTGGGTCTGAGCCCTACACAGACGCGCCAACTGTGGATGGTGAACAAATCCTTCTGTGGCATCCTGGCAGGGCCAGGCAGGGGAGGAAAGAGAAACACAAGGCAAGGCCAAAGGATTCTGTGGGCATCTGATCCAAAGAACAGCATTTACAAATCAGAATGAGTAAAACTGAAAAACAACAGTGTCCCGCTCCGGAGAGCCGCAGATAAAGGATTAGGGCAAAACCGAAGGAGATTCGAAAGGACTGGACTGTATGAAAGGAGAAGTAAACCCTGGTAAATAGGTGTATCTCCAGGAGAGTTATGAATGGTCCTCTCCTCATTCATCCTCTTACCGTCTTAAATCTATGAATGAAGCTAAGGACAGGGCTGACCCAGGGAAGGCACTTTGGAGACAGAAGCATATAACTAGTAAATGAGAGGCAGGTTTATTTATTGTTAGGATGGGACCACACCCTTTCAAGTGCTAAAGACACTTTCTGCCACTGAGCCAGTCCTAGAAGACTTCCCCCCATAACCCTCACAAGACAGGGTTTCTCTGTGTAGCTCTGGCTGTCCTGGAACTCACTTTGCAGACCAGGCTGGCTAGGACTCAAGAGATCCGCCTGGCTCTGGCTCCCAAGAGCTAGGATTAAAGGCGTGTGCTACCACACCCAGCCTTTTTTCTTAAACGGTTTTATTGATTATTTCATTTTATGTGCATTGGTGTTTTGTTTGCATATATGTCTGTGTGAGGGTGTTGGATACCTTGGAGATGGAGTTATAGACAGCCGTGAGCTGCCATGTGGGTCCTAGGAATTGAACCCATGTCCTTTGGAGGAGCAGTTAGAGTTCTTAACGGAACACTTGCGGAAAGCAAGCAGTAGACTTATAACCACAACTTGGCCAGTGGTTCAAATTCTAGGTCCCCAAATAACAGCTTTCTACCTCTGCCACCTGGAGCAAGGTAATTTAAAACTTTATTTATTCCTTATGAGCCAAGGTGGTAACAGGGATTAGACACAATGTTTTGTGTGAGCTGAGAGTCCACTCTGTAGCTCGTCAGTAGTTTCTAGTTGACTCCCAAATGCATCCCTCTGTGAACCCCAGTGTCACTGATCACTTACCAGTGGTCTCATGTCCAGCCAGGGACACAAATGGTAGACCAGCTTGCTATTGGATGGTCTGTATTTCAAATTGCTCTGATTGGTCAATAAATAAAACACTGATTGGCCAGTGGCCAGGCAGGAAGTATAGGCGGGACTAACAGAGAGGAGAATTGGGAGAACCGGAAGGTGGAGGGAGTCATTGCTAGCCGCCGCCATGACAAGCAGCATGTGAAGATGCCAGTAAGCCACGAGCCATGTGGCAAGGTATAGATTTATAGAAATGGATTAATTTAAGATGTAAGAACTAGATAGCTAGAAGCCTGAGACATTAGGCCAAACAGTTTAAATAATATAAGCGTCTGTGTGTTTATTTTATAAATGGGCTGTCGGACTGCTGGGGCTTGGCGGGACCCGGAGAGAAAACTCTCCAGCTATACCAACTAAATCACTATTTTGTGGTGAGATAAAATTCTGTTAAATTCTGTTTGATTATGGAAATAAAAGAGGCCAGTAGCAGCAGCCGAGCGGTGGTGGTGGTGGCGCACACCTTTAATCCCAGCACTCAGGAAGCAGAGCCAGGCGGATCTCTAACGAGTTCAATGCCAGCCTGGGCTACAGAGTGAGATCCAGGACAGGAACCAAAACTACATGGAGAAACCCTGCCTTGAAAAACCAAAAAGTAAAATAAAATAAAATAAAATAAAAATGCCGGTAGCAATGGAAAGGAACCACCAGATTGCTCGTGTACCTGGGAAAAACCAACTTACCTTTTCTAATTTCACTATGTTAGCTGTAAGTTCTTGGCACAGGGCCTCCACATTTAACTGTACTGGTGATCCCAGGCCTGATGGGACTGTTTGCCTGTGAGGAAAAAGGGAAACATCAGTAAGAGCAACCATGGCAAAGGCAGGCACGGAATGTTACGTTTGAACAGAAAACTATAGGGTAGAAGAGAGGACCAGCATCGTTTTGCCCGAACTGTCACAAAGGCTGGGTAGCAATCCTCAGCTCTAAGGTAGATGTGTATTGGCCAGTTCTGAGTTTAGCATGAAATCTCTTAAGCTAATTTTCTTCAAGTGCCTTGTTGTGTGTTGGCTTCAACACAAAACTCAGACAATTGTTCTCAAGAATGTGGATTCTTAGGGCCTTTGTTCAGATCCTAGCACCCTCGCCATCCCCGCGACAGCTACGTGTTCATGACGGACTGCTGGTCTCAGCTGTGATAGATGGTAGAAAGGGCCATTTACACTGGAGTGGCTGAAAAGCCAGGGAGTATCCTTATGTAGCCAGTTAAATTTCCTCACAGCCATGAGGCTCAGCTTTCCCTCCCAGTTCTTTCCTTACGACTTGTATAGATATACAAGTATAGCTCATCATACTCATCATACCAACTGACTACTCGTGGCTGGAATTCTATACCGGTCTCCAAAGCGAGTTACTATTCTATGTAGTAACAGCTAATCCCACAGGAACTTTGGAGAACTACAGTAGGTACATTTCCCTGGAGAATGTTCCAATACTACTTTTTATATTTCCGTGATAAGCCACGGTCTGCATCATCTGTATGTTCCTTGGCTGTGCTTCCTTAAAGTTTTATTTATTTTTATTTTGCATGTATGAGTGTTTTGTCTGTATGCATGTCTGTGTACCACATGCATACAGTACCCTTGGAGGCCGGAACAGGGTATTGGGTCCCCTGTGGATGGTGGGAAGCTGCCGTGTGGGTGTTGGAAACCAAACCCAGGTAGGTCCTGTGCAGGAGCAGCAGTCATGCTTTTTACAGTCGAGCCATCTCTTCAGTCCCTCTTGGGTGGGATTTAATTTTAGTGGTTGAGTTCTTGGATGTCAGTGACTAGTCTGACTTATTTTCTATCGGGTTCATTTTTGAGGCAAAGGTACTCAGTAAATTGCTGATGGCTGCTCACGTCTTAAGAGAGGTGTCTATTAGGAGCACGCAGCATGCTCGTAAGTCCTTAATTCCTGGAAACGGAGTTTGAACTCTTGATTTTCTAGTTGAGGGGAGTTGAGGCTCAGAGGACTGATGTATCAACAGGTGGTTCTGAGGGACAGTGATGTTCTCACCAACAGGCATGGAGCTGGAGAAGAGTGGTGGTCCCGAGGAGCCTGTCGCTTGCTAATAACACTGGCCAACTGTACGGGCTCAAAGGGAAGGCTCCTCAGCAAGTGCGGAATCAGATTACACGTGTGGATTTAGCTACCTGGCTCACTCTGGACAAAGGGCCCAGGGGAGGTCAGGGTCTGGGATGATGCTGTATCAATAGTCCTTCCACTTGTGGGTGTCCCCTGACCTTACTTTGTATGTGGTGTGTGTGTGTGTGTGTGTGTGTGTGTGTGTGTGTGTGTGTGTTTGACTTTTCTTTGTAGGTTATTTTTTAGATTGTACTTCTTCTTGGGCTGATTTTAAGAGGGGAAAGAACATTTTGTTTGTTGAAATTTCCCCCCTTTACTGCTAAGTTAATTAAATGGTACTAGAACGTGAGGTATATTTTTCTAATAAAAACAACTCCTTGGAAGATAGGAAGCAACAGTCTGCAATCATTGGGAGTCACCTCTAATACAAACAGAGAGTTGTATTAACATTTTGAACATGACGGGAGGGCAAGGGTAGGGTATATGGATCTGTTCTAAATTGTTTATTAGGCTTCTGAACACATGTTTTGGTTCAAATATGTATTTGTGATCTCCAAATGACCTGTATGCAAGCATAAGACACAGAACAAGGGCTTTAAGTAATTTAGGTGGGCAGTGAAGAAGGGCCTAGAATGGTATGTGACACAGTAGAATGTTGTGGGATATTTGCACACTGTGTGAAAATGTATTGCTGTGATTGGTGTGATATAAAGCTGAGCGGTCCATAGCTAGGCAGGAGGTGTAGGCAGGACTTCTGGGCAGAGAGAGAACTCTGGGAAGAAGAAGGCAGAGTTGTCAGCCAGACGCAGAGGAAGCAGCATGGGCAGTGTGGAGAGATGAGGTAACAAAGCCACATGACAGAATGTAGATGAAAATAAATGGGTTAATTTAAGCTATAAAGCTAGTGGGACAAGCCTAAGCTGAGGCCAAACTTCCATAATTAATAAGAAGTCTCCTTGTTGTTACTTGGGACTGGCGGCAGAAAAGAAGTCTCTCTACACTAGAAGACTGGGGAGTGTGGGGCTGTGGTGGTGCACGCCTTTAATCCCTGCACTCAGGAGGCAGAGGCAGATGGATCTCTGTGGGTTCGAGGCCAGCCTGGTCTATCGAGCAAGATCCAAGACAGGCACCAAAACTACACAGAGAAACCTTGTCTTGAAGAAAAAGAAAGAAAGAAAGAAAGAAAGAAAGAAAGAAAGAAAGAAAGAAAGAAAGAAAGAAAGGAAGGAAGGAAGGAAGGAAGGAAGGAAGGAAGGAAGGAAGGAAGAAAGAAAGGAAGAGAAGAATGAATAGGTGGCATAGATTTGATTGGTCCAGCATGTTCAAAGTGTTGGATGAGGCTAAGAGTGGTGGCGCACGCCTTTCATCCCAGCACTCGGGGAGGCAGAAGCAGGCGGATCTCTGTGAGTGTGAGTCCTGCCTGATCTACATAGTGAATTCCAGTACAGAGAGGATTATGTAGAGAGACCCTGTCTCAAAAAAAAAAAAAAGTGATAGATGAAAAATCTTCACAGACACATTCAACTAGTTAGTAATCATAAATAC